CAGCCCATTGAGACTGCAGGGGGATTGGCCAGCTCACACACCTGCACAAAATTGCTGAGAGCTGGGGACAGGCCAGATCAGTCTAAGAAAACATGACAAATACAAGAGAAGAAACAGCAAAACCCTGTTTCCTGAAAGAGAGTTAATGAACTCTGCCCTCAGGTTCTGCTGGGCTGAGGTCTCACTTGCTGAAAGAGAGTGTCACAGGATGTGGAGAGCTCAGGGTAGGAGGTGTGCAGGCAGCAGGAATTGTTGTGGAAAAGGTAGAGAGTTAATGTCATCTGACAGCCTGATGTTAAATGACACAGTTGAATGAAAATGAAATGGCTGTTGGGTTTTGATGTATCAATTTTGCAGTATTTTCAAGCCTTAAAATCAACAAGAATGAAATTGAAACCTCTAAGGTACCTTCTGTTGTGACTGTACAAAAACCCTGTGTACTGAGCTTTGAAGTAAAATGTGGGAGCCTCTGCTGAGCTCCCTCAGGGTCAGCTCCTTTTGAATCCTGCTATTCCCTAAGCTGGCAGGAGTCACACAAGGAACAGCCTTTCAGGTTAGACCTAATGTGAAGCCTCCTGTTTAATTCTGTGTGGGCTGACACAGGGAAGCGCTGCTGAAAATCTGGGGCTGTGAAAAGATGTGCTGTGGGCTGGGAATATAAATCTGTACCTTCCTGACTTTGAACCCAGGATGCTGCCAAAGCCAGCATTTGTCAGGATGCAAAGTGAGAAGCCCAGGGCTGAGCCAGCAAAGAATCCAGTTGGTATTTAAAGCAGTTGAGCAGAAAGCCAGTAGCTTAGGGCATAATGAAAAACTGCTCTGGAAGCCATGAAATGAGCTGAGTCAGGGACAAGGAAGAAGAGATTGTAGGCACTTCAGGGTGGCCCAGAAAATTAATAAGGGGCACAGGGAGACCTGAGAGAGCCCCTGTGGCAACAGCTTCGAAGGATCACTCAGAGGAAGGAGGTACAAAGGCTGTGCAGTGCATGGAAACCTCGCAGAGGGCCCAGAGCTGCTCTCATGGGGGACCTGCTCCCCCTGGCACAGCAGCCAGGCATGTTCCTGTAGGGAACCTGCATCCCATAGCCCTGCCAGGGAAAGAAAGGTGCTGCTTGGTGGGTATCTGACAGTGTTTAGTTGTGAAGCTGATAGCAATGGTTTACTTTGTACTGCAGATCTTCTAGAGATCGATCTTCAAGAGAAAAGTCCCGAGACAGAGAGAGGAAAGAGAAGAGCTCTTCTGAGAGGAGGCACGAGAGCACAAATGGCAAATCTCGTTCCAAGAGGTCAGAAGAGAGAGAAGCTGGCGAGATCTGAACTCAAACAATCTGTGTTGCACTGTAAATAGTCTGATAAACATTCTACACAAAGCCTAAATTTCCCATTTATATTTACTGAATACAACTCATCTTTTGTAGTTTGGGATTTTTATTGTTTGGCAGATAGCTGTGAGTTTGTAGAGACACAAGAGTTACGTACTGTTTAACAGGATTTTGTTTTAGTAGGAATAAATAAATCTGGATGGATGGTTTTCAGTCCAGGCCAGCGTGGACACCCCGTGTTTGTCCTGACTCAGTGGTCAGGGCCACGCTGTGCCTGGAGCCCTGAGCTGCCCTGACCTTTGTAACGCTTCAGCCCTTTCCAAAAAACCCTCCTGACCCTCTGTGAGCACACCAGTACCACTGGTTCTCAATTATATTTTTTCCTTCTGTTTATATATGTTAAAAAAAAAAAAAAATCAGATTTCTTTTTTTTCTTCCTTTTAGTACTTAGCCATCTCATTTTTATGTCTCCAGCACTTGAAAGTTGCCTCACTTGCCCAGCTAAGGCAAAAAAGATGAAATTTGGCCCTGATCTATTCTGAAAGCTGTTTGTCATTGAGGATGACCAGATGAGCTGAACCATGTTCCTAAGCTGGGCTCAAGTCTGGTTTTAGTACCTTTACAGTTCAGATAGCTGAGTTGGTGTGAGCAAAGCAGTGGAAACCTGGCTGCTTTCCTCTCTCGAGAGGCACAGCCACAGCTCCTCTGCCTCTTTACTGTGCTCTCTGCAGTCAGAGCTTCCCGCGGGGCTTTCTGACCTGCAGCCCAAAGCGTTGCTGTGTTCCAAGGCCAGTCAGGCAGAATGTGCCGAGGTGGCCGGGGCTGGAGCCCGTGTCCCTCCCGGGAGAGCGGCACCGGCCGTGTCCCCTCGGCGTGGGAGCTGCTGCCGTTGTCACTCGCTAATTGTACCTCGGCTCTTGTTCCCCACGAGGGGCTGTGCCAGCCCCAGCCGCGACCCCGGGCTCGGCATTTTGTGGGATCGGTGCTAGCGCAGCCGCTGTCACCCGCCGAGGCAGGAGCCGGGCAGCTGCTCGTTAGCGCGGTTAATTACCGCCGGTAATTGCCGTTCCCAGGGCCGGGCTCCGGCCAGCGCTCCCCCCTCCCTCCATTCTCTGCCTCCCCCCGAACGCGGCTCCGGTTCCGCCGCGGTACTGCCCCGGTGTCGGTCCCTAGTGCATGCCCCCCTTCCCTGTCCGTTTTTACGATGAATTCCGCGGTTTCACGTGTTGTTTTTGTAACCTCCGTGTGGGGCGCGGGGGGCGGCGGGCGCGCGCTCGGGGTGCCTGTACGTGCCCATGCTGTTCTCCCGCGGTCTGAGCGCATTAAAGATCTGTGTTTGTGGCTCCCGCTGCTGCCCGGACTCGTTCTTTGCGGGTTCTCCGCCCGCGCCGCCGCCCGAACCGGGCCGGGCCCCGCCGCACCGAGCGGAAGCGCTCCCTGCGCAGTGACGTCACCTCCGCCGGGCGGGGCGGGGATGGAGGCGGAAGTGACGGCGGCGGCGGCGGCGCGGGGTGAGTGCGGAGCGGGGCGGGCGGGGGCCGGGGGGGACCCGGGGGGTGCCCTGGGCCGCTCCCGCCGCACCATGGGCTCCTGGCACCTCCGTGGGGGCGCACCGAGAACGCGGCAATGTCCCCGGGCCGCGTCCCCCCGCTGGCACCGGGCGATCGGGAACGGAGCCGGCTGCCGAAGCGTCCGCGCTGCCCGCGCGCTGCCGCCAGCTCCGGGAGCGCGGGGCTGGCAGCGGCAGCGCTGGGCTCGGTGCAGCCGCGGGGCCGGGGCCGGGCCCGGGCCGGTGAGAGCCCGCGGCTGTCAGCGCTTGCAGCCCGGCCCTGGGCCTGCCCTGCCCTCTCGGAGGGGTTTGCTGTCCCCAGAAGTGCCTCCACACCATAGCGAGAGGCCCGGGAAAGAATTCAGTCCTTTCTTCCAAAGCCCAAGGTGCTCCCTGTGATCCGAACTCCTTTATCCCGAGGCTGGGCGGCTGTGAGGGCTCCTGGGGAGCTGCTGACGCAGCAGCTGGGACTGCGGGACTGGGCTTCAGTCAGAGCAAGAGCGAGCCCCTCACCTCTGCAGAGCCCAGCACAGCCAAAATCTGCTCCTGGACAGGTTCACAGTGAGCCCCTCACCTCTGCAGAGCCCAGCACAGCCAAAATCTGCTCCTGGACAGGTTCAGAGTGAGCCCCTCACCTCTGAAGAGCCCAGCACAGCCCAAATCTGCTCCTGGACAGGTTCACAGTGAGCCCCTCACCTCTGCAGAGCCCAGCACAGCCCAAATCTCCTCCTGGACAGGTTCACAGTGAGCCCCTCACCTCTGCAGAGCCCAGCACAGCCCAAATCTGCTCCAGGACAGGGTTCACAGTGAGCCCCTCACCTCTGCAGAGCCCAGCACAGCCACACTCTCCTCCTGGACAGGGTTAAAGCCCTGTTCCTCTTTCTCTCGGGAGCCCACAAGCCTAGTTTGCAGGTGTGAATTACAGGGCTTCTTGCTGGAAGAAAAACACTGCAATGTGTTCAACTCCAGCCTCATTTCCAGCCTTTTCTCCTTATTTTGTAAGGCAGAAACATCTTGTGTAACAGCTGGGAGAGAGAGGGGCAGTCTGTCCAGCAGGGAGGGACTGGAGCCAGCCCTTCCCTGTATCGGCAGGATTGGGCTGCCTGTGGAGGTCAGGGGCTCCCCAGGGATGGATGTGTGATGAGGAAGCTTTGCTCTGTGTGTGTGTAAGTGACAGAAAGAAAAATTCCATTTCTGGGGGAAGAAAAGGGGTTTCTTTTGAAGGTATCTGTGAAAGACAGCAGCATCTGGAGGAAGGCTGTTATTTCATAGAATCATGGAATGGTTTTGGTTAGAAGGGACCATAAAGATTATCTTGCCCCACAGACCAGGTTGCTCCAAGCCCCATCCAGCCCAGCCTTTGAACACTCCTTTCACCCTGCCATAAATCTCTCCAGGCTGTGCAGGAGGCAGCATGGAATTCTGACCCGTGGAGTGAGTGCCCCACCTAAAAATGGTACTTTTTTTTTTTGTCTTTTGAATAAATCCACATGAAATGACCAAATTCCAGGGGGTTTTCATGCACAGAGATCTCTGCAGAGTCCCTTGTGTGCTCAGTCTCTGGCAGTGAGGGATTCACTGTGCTTCTGAGCAAGAGGGGAGCCCTGTGGGTGAGCTGAGGGTGTCTCAGAGCTGGGGGTGTCTCAGTGAGATCTGGGGGTGTCTCAGTGTGAGCTGGGGGTGTCTCAGTGAGAGCTGGGGGTGTCTCAGAGCTGGGGGTGTCTCAGTGAGAACTGGGGGTGTCTCAGAGCTGGGGGTGTCTCAGTGAGAGCTGAGGGTGTCTCAGTGTGAGCTGGGGGTGTCTCAGAGCTGGAGGTGTCTCAGTGAGAGCTGGGGGTGTCTCTGTGAGCTGAGGGTGTCTCAGTGAGAACTGGGGGTGTCTCAGTGAGAGCTGGGGGTATCTCAGTGTGGGGGGGTGTCTCAGTGAGAACTGGGGGTGTCTCAGTGAGATCTGGGGTGTCTCAGTGTGAGCTGGGGGTGTCTCAGTGAGAGCTGGGGGTGTCTCAGAGCTGGGGATGTCTCAGTGTGAGCTGGGGGTGTCTCAGTGAGAGATGAGGCTGTCTGTGATTTGGGAGGTTCAAGCACCCCACTGACAGCTGCCCTTGGCACAAGGGATCAACAACAGTTGGTGAGAGGAGTGGCTTGGGTGCAGTGGAGCTTGTAAGCCCAGGGATAATAAATGGCTGCTGTTTCTTCAGCACAGTTGTTATTACTGCCCTGACCTGTAATCAGTCTCATGCAGCTTTAATGCTCTTCTTCATCTGAGAATTTTGATCTTCCCATTACTCTCATGGAAATAATGCTGGGTTTTGTTTTGCTCTTCCCTGAACAGTTTGAGTTTCTGTATTTGAACTCCTGTCTGTAGTGGAAACTGCCTTGGATAAGAGTTTTCTCCTACAAATGACAGATGTGAAGGTGGTTGTGCTCTGGAGGAGTTTCTGATTCCCTTGCTGTGAGTGCTCTGTGGCACCTGCTGTGTCTGCACTGGAGGGTTAAATGTCATTTCAGAAGAACCTGAGGACAGCTCCAGCAGGAGAATCCCAGAATGGTTTAATTTGGAAGGACCTTAAGGCTCATCTCGTTCCAGCCCTGCCATGGGCAGGGACACCTTCCACTATCCCAGCCTGCTCCAAGCCCTGTCCAACCCAGCCTTGGACACTGCCAGGGATGGGGCAGCCACAGATTCCCTGGGAAACCTGTGCCAGGGCCTCACCAGTCTCATTGGTGGGGTTTGGATTACAAGCTGTGTCCTCAGAAAGGCCTTAGGGGCATGCCAGGAGCAGAGGTGCCCTGTCACACAGGGATGGTCTCCTCAGGTCAGTGTCCCCAGCCAGCCCTGGCTGTGACCTGGTGTCAGGAGGGAGCTGTGAGCTGCAGATGACCCAGCAAAATGATGAGCTTGAGTGCAGCATGCAGCCTGAGTGTCTTTGGGAGAGCAGAGCTCGTTTTGGGAAATCTTACATGTTATTTCTTCTTGTCCTGATGTAAGTGGGACTGCAGAGAAAGGAACAAATGACCCAAGGCTGAATTCACAGCAGGTGAGTGTGACTAAATGTCACAGCCCAGTGAGTTGGCTGCAGTGTCACAGTGTGCATGGGATCAAACCCCAACAGTCTGCTCATGGAAAATAGCTGTGATGGGAAGGTTGCATCTTATTCAGAGCAAAACCTGGCTGTTTTGTCTTTATTGATTGCAGCTTGGGGCTTCAACCATTTCTGGCTGACAGGAAGGAAACCTCTGCTGTGCTTGAACTAACCAACCAAACAGAACTAAACCAGCCAAATGCTGTGTTTGTGTTCCTAAAATGTCCAGTCAGAACCTGATTCCATCACTCTGTGGAAGATAAAAAAATGAACATCAAATCTAAGTTACAGTATATTGCTAGAAATTTTCTGGGAAGAACTGCTGCCTGGTGACATTCCAGATGTTGTGGTTTGGTGTTTTATGAGTGGAAAATGAGTTAAACCTTTCCAATGCACGGATCCTTAAATGATTTCTGTCACCAGTCTCCATCCACCTGACTGTCTGTGGTTCTCTGTGCTTGTCAGGCAGTTCTGTCTGACTGCTGCTGATGGTTTGCCCCTTGGGTTTAGCTATGCAGGAGTCTCTGGTTTGAGGCAGATCAGATCTGTAAATCTGCACTGTGGCTTCAGGAAACAGGACAGTGGAGGTGAGTACAGCTGTGTTTGTCCTGTCCCTGTTGTTGCTGTGGTACAGGAAGGGGTGTTTGTTTCCCCTCAGCTTGGGCTGGGGACTGCTCCCAGCTCATCCCATGGCTGGGGGGAAGCAGCCTGTAAAGGTGAGTCTGAGATGCAGATCCTGGCTGTGCTGCCACACTCCCTGGCCTGTGTGGGTTCAGTTTGGGTTTGTCACATGTGTTTTCTAACTATTTCTCATTCTGCAAGGTCTTTCTCCCATGTTTTCTCCTGTCCCCAGATCTGCTGCAGGCGGTGTGTTGTCACACTGCAGCAACACAGAATCCTGTCATGCCTGCTCCCCTGAAAGGAATGTGTTGAACTTCCCAGCTGAGTTATTTTGTGTCCTCTACCAGCAGGAGACAAGATGTCAGCTGCTAGAGGACAGTAAAACCATCTCAGATGCATACTATCATTTTCTGCTTGTCTTCAATTAAACTGATTAGCAGCCCTCTTTGTTGTTGAGCTCAGGCCATTCCACATGCTGCCAGCATGTACTTTGGCAGCACAGGCCCTGGGATTTCCTGCATTGTTTGAGTCTTGGCCATTGACCTTCGTGGTCCTCGTTCTGGCACTGCCTCTGCTCTGGCAGGGGTGCAGGGGGCATTATTCAAACCCTGCAAGAAAAGAGAGAGAATTGCTTTAAAGGCATTGAGGGCTCTTTGTGCTCAGTGTCTCCATGGGGTCATCGCTGCAGAAAAGAGGGGAATTACTGGGGTTGTCAGGATAATTACTGCTTTTTTAGTGTTCTCAGCCCAGGCCAGATGACAGTGCTGAGATTTATAGTGAGTCATAAAAAGATGCCATCAGTGCTGTGTTAGGTGGTGTCCCTTTTGGACAGAGGGGGGAGAAACCTGGGTTTGGTTTGTTTTGGGAAGTCTCATGGGCACTGCTATGCCCTGGATCTTTCCCAGCTCTGTACTGGGAGGCTGTTCTGCTGGAGAGGCTGGTGGGATTGTGCTGGAGCCCTGTTGCAGCCCATGCTGTGGGTGCTGGTTGTGAGAAGATCCCCCTCTCCATCTGCTGGAGATGCAGGGACACAGGAGCCAGCTGCCCCAGCACAGGGGAGGTCACATAACTCACTCCTGCCACTGTCCCCATCTCTGTGGCCCAGTAAATCATTTGCTCAGCCTGAGCCTGGAGTCTTGTACCTTGAACCTGCTCAAGGCCTGGTGCACTAAAGGAGCAATGCTCAGCTCAGGGCAGAGGCTGAAAGCACCACTTGATCTCTTGTTCCCCTTTCCATGTGGAGCCTTCCCACCCATCAGGTGCCTGCTGCTGGTCTGGGAACAGCCAGGCTCGTGTAGCTGTCCCTGGTGTGGCTGGTGGGCTGATGAGAAGGGCAGATGAAGTCCTTGGAGTAAGATCTTTGGAATAAGATGCAACTTCTGCATTATTGATTTGTTTGCATGGTATTGTGCAGGTTGAATTAAATTATCTGGAGTGAGATCCTATACTTGATGTAGAACAAATGCCAGAGTGCTCAGGTGGGAGTAAATGCTTTTAAGTCCAGCAGGCTTTGAGGTTAAGGGGTTGGCAGTGCCAGGCTGACCTGCTGATTCTGTGCCTCAGGGCTGCCTTGCCATGGATCTGTCCCCCTGTGATTTGTCCCCAGAAGAGAAGAGGCCTCTGCAGTGGGACAGGGACAGCCTGGGGAGCCACAGCTGCTTGAATGAGCTGAGCCTCCCCAGGGTGACTCATCTTGTGTTTCACAGAACCTGTAAATGAGCTTGGGTAGAAACGTGAGACACATGAGCCCTGTTGCTGTTGAAATCCCATGCTCTGCACTGTGTTGGTGCTGACTTTAAAGCTCTTTTCTGCTGGGGAAGTAAATGGCTGCAGTGGACAACCCAGACACGTGACTGCTGGGGCACAGTCATGGAAAATTGGCTCGGTTGTTGTGGTTATTTGCTCTGATAGAACTTTTCATAACACTGTCAAGCAGCTTTTTCCAAGCCTACTGGAATGTGTTATTCTTTATTTCTTCCCTTGTGGTATTTTTTTTAAAGAAGCACTATCAGACAATCTGTATAAAACATGGATTTTTTACTGTTGTTGTGGGTAATGACTTACAGGCTCCTCTAACTGACTAGGGCTCTTTCCCCCACTTTTGATAGCAAATTAGAGCAGAACCCCTCTGTTTATTTTAGTTGTAGCCCAAGGTTATGATTTATAGCAGGAGAAGCTAAAATAGCAGTTGTTAACTCTTCCAGTCTGATGAAATCAGATTTGCCTGATTTTAGTCTCAGCTCCTGCCTTGTTTTTTCTCTGGGGAGGGAAGTCATCACTCTTTTGCCTTCTGCAGCTCTGGGTTGCTGAACTTACCCAGTGGTTTCTCATGTAAGCAGGTGTTGAAGAGCTTTGGTTTGCTCCTATACAGAAAACTCTGGTGTTTGTTTCTCTCTCTCTGGGGAAGCTCAAGTGCACATTACAGTGGAGAACAGCCTTATGTTGGGATATAAAGGTCACAAGTGTTTCCTTTCACCTCTCCAGTGGGAGCCAGGCTGACATACACGGGAGGTGGCAACAAGTCTTTGCAACAAAAGGAGCTTTTGGGGTGTTTTTCTTGAGGGAGACCTGCAGACCAGTCAGTCCTTTCTGTGTGGGCTCTGTACCTTCCTTGTCCAGCTCTAGCAGAGTTGATTTCCTCCTCTGGGGAAGAATTGATGCTGTTCCTGCATTCCATGAACTCTGTGTGGGAGACCTCCAGCACCAGCAGTGTGTTGTATCCAGCTCTGTGACAGTACACTGCTTTGCTCACCTCCCATTAAATGTTTCCAGAGTGAATATCAGGGAGTAACAGAATATTTTAATTGGTGTTTTTAAAATATATTTCAAAATGTGTTTTGACTTCTTTTTCCATTGTTGCAGGTGAAGGAGGAGAAGGGTGTGTGAACACCCATGAATGAGTTGTGATGGATAACAAGGACTCAGAAGCTGAGATCCACCCTCTGAAGACTGAGGATGTAAAAGCTCAGGAGAACCATGAACACTATGTGGAGAGGAGGATTATCAAGTCCTCGGGGCTGTCCCGGCTGTCCCGGTGGCGCACTGCTGCCTTCTTCATCTCCCTCTTCCTCTGCCTGATCATTGTGTTTGCTTTCTCCTTCATCATTCCCTGCCCAGAGAGGCCAGTTTCAGAAAGAACATGGTTCCAGTACTACAACAAAACAGGTGAGCTTGCTGCAGCAGGATAAATACTTACCTAGAGTCCTTTTCCTTTCTTTCTGTGCCATGGATTTGGGTTGTGGACCTCTGCCTAAGCCCAGACCTGCAGGGATGCAACCCTTGGGAGCCAGAGCTGTGAATACCTGACCTGGATAAGCAATGGCCCATCATAATTGGAGTGGCCTTCCAGGAGATGTTTACAGGATCTAGTGGAGAAATTAGCGTCTGCTCTGAAGTGGTAACAAGGTAGCAGGCTGGCCTCAGTCACAAAAAAAAAAAAATAAGAGAAAGGATATCTGGGAATAAACCTCTGTTGAAGCTTGCTCTTTAAAATGTTCCTTTGGAGTTCATGCTGAGGTTGAAGGCAATTAGGCATTTTTTCCTCTGTCATTTTGACTTTCTCCCTTTTCCCCATGGCCAACACGAAGGAAAGAAGAATAATTCCATCTTGTTTTTTTAATAAATTGCTCTGTAGTTATTATAGCTATTTTTATTCTGGTTGTTTTAGTTGGCTCTTCAGCCTGGGTCCTGCTCCCCAGTGGCTCTGCAGTCGTTTCTGGGAGAGCTTTTCTTTAACCTTGTGTGCAGTAGGTTGTGCTGGCTGTGCTGTAAATGCAGAGATAGTGCTCACAGCAGGGACTGAGCTGCGTGTGGTGCTGCAGACACCCCAGGTGCTGCTACTCTCAGCTTCGGAAAGCTGCTTTTGGCTGCTAAAAATATGGAGTATCTGGGTTTTGTGGGGCTTGGGTGGGGCTTCTTTGTACTTTGAGAATAGCAGCCCCACTCCAAGATCACAGTTGTTCTTTTTTCAGCATAGTTCAAATTCTGGCTGCTTGCCTCTTAAAAAAAGACATCCTCTGGGGAGCAGCAAATTGAAAAAATTGTTTGGCACTAACTTCCTGTCCTTGGTACTTGTGTATGTGATTTTTTTTCATATAAAAGCCAATTTGTCCTGATGTTACACTGTCCAGGATGGAGGCAGTGAGTAGGTCTCTAGGAATTTGTGTTCTGCTCCAACTTTCTCTGCTGTGGGCTAAGGAAATCCTCACCAGAGCCTGGCTTGTGTTCTCTTGCAGTGCCCTACCCATTCCTTGCTATAGCAGATGTGAGTGAAGACAAAGTACAGGATGTGCTCTTTGCATTCAAATCTGGCAACAGCAGCAGATTCAACATGTCCTGTCTGGATGAAGGTACCTGCTCCACAAAGGGCTGTCCTTTCTCTTCCAGTTCCAGTCAGTGACTGGGAGAGAAAGCTGGGTGGGAGGAGGAGCTGGGTGAGTCCCAGCTCCTGGGTGGTGCAGGGGCAGCTCCCTCTGACCCCTCTTGTCCCCAGGGCTGCCATCTCCCTGTGCCTTCGTCGCTGCAGTGTCTGGCAGGAACGGCAGCGTGCTCTGGGAGAGCCCAGCTGCAGAGGAGGTGCAGTGGCTGCAGTGTGACATCCAGCAGCTGGGCACAGCAGCATCCCCGGGCTGCCTCGTGGTGGAGAAGCCACTGGCCCTTACAGCACTCAGCCTGAACACAGGTGAGTGCCAGCAGAGCCCTGCTGCCACACAGGGCATGGGCCTTTTGCTTTCCTCACCTGGTGGCCTCCAGGGGGGATGTCAGTGTGACATGGACAATGGGCATTGGGTATTTGTTGTTTGGAAGCCTTGCCAGAGCCGCTTGCTGGGCACTGAGGAGCGCGTGCTCTCAGCCCCGCTGTTCCAGAGGTTGGTGGGGGTTTGTGCCAGCCACTGTTTCATAAGACCAGTGTTCCAAGAGCTTTTGAAACAGGAGGAGCAGTCACTAGCTGTGTTAGTTTATACTCCCCAGGGTTAGGCACAAACCTGCACCTGCAGTGTTTCCCAGTTATTTGTGTGTGCATGCCAGGAGTGCCTGCTGTGGCAGGAGGAGTGGGAGTTCCAGGCATTTATGATTTTAAAGTTGTCAAGGAGAGCACTTAGGATAAGTGTTTGCCAGTCTGTTTCAGTAGTCTACAATTCTGCCTAGTTCCTCTGGAAAGGTTTTTTCCTTTCCAAACTTGGAGGTGGAGAAATTCATCATCATCATCTTGCCTGACGTGGGTGGGGGTAAGGAGTGCCTGTACTACTTTAGGAACAGTGATCATCTGCTGCACCTTGAACCCTCCTTGCTGGTGAAGCCTAAAATACATTTCCATCTTGGAGGTCACTATTTCAAAGATCTAAACAATATATATTCTCCCTAGGATCCCATTCTTTGTATCACATCCTGTTTTCCAAAATTTGGAAAAAAGAAATAGCAAGAGATCCAGCTCTAAGGAATCTGAAGAAAATCAGGTGTAGCTTTTAATTTCTAGAGTATAGTTGGAAGTGTAGATACACACAGAGCTAGAAAGTTTCTATACCAGCAGAGACCTCTTATCACCATTTCCCTCATGTATAGGCTTTAGCACAGGTTATTTTTAGACTATTAATGAAGTAGGTACTTTCAGGTCAAAGTGTAGAAAGTTGGCTGTGGAGCCAAAGGCTTGTAACTAAAGACAGCCATAAAGGCAAGTGTGGAGAGGAGGAGCCAGGCTAAGCTACAGGTCACAGCAATACAGGGAAGAAAACATTCCATAGATAACTTCAAAGCAAGAGAGGAAAAAATGCATCAGAAAAGTGAGTAACCCAAGAGTTTATGTATTTAATGCCTTTTTGCTATTAAGTAGGTTAAAAATGCTTTCTGAGCTTAGCTGACTGGGGGTTAGGAGGGCAGAGCAGAATAAAATGTATTTAAATAGGCTAAATGTATTCAAAGAGGCAAAGTCCAACTTACATCACAGTGTGCTAAAAACAGTAGCCAGCACAATCTTTAGCTGTTAATGATTCATCATCGTGGAGGATTTGGTGAGATTCCAGGGCTCTCAGGCTGTCTAGCCCCTGCCTGTAGGAAGATTGAAGGAGAGATAGGCAGATTATCATCTGAATGTGTCTGATGTGGTTTTGATCTTTAAATGCTGATAAAGTTAGTGGGATTTTTATCAGTTGAAGTTGTTCGAAGTCCTGCTTTCTTCATTGCCACAAGGAGTGACCAGGGTGGGCAGGAAGGGAAGTGTAGGAGTGCATGCTCCTGTTTGTGTGGGACATCTAACATTCCTGCATGTTTATCTTCCCAGCAAACTGGGACACATAGGAGCTTAAGATTAACTGTTCCAGGTCAGAGCAAAAGTCTTTGTAGCTGTGTATTATTCCATCTCTGCCACAGCCTGAGGCAGAGTCTCAAGAAAGAGGACAGGAGTAAGAGTTTTGTTACATCTTCTCTCTTCATCTGATCCTCCAGCAGCCTGAACTGTGAGCCCTGTGGGTGGTTCTGGTCTCCTGAGGGATTGGGCAGAAAGGGCATCATGATGATCAGATGATGGAACTGCTTCTGTGTGAGAAATCACGAAATAAATAAACCAGAACTCCAACCTGGAGAACACCTGACAGGGAGAAAACTCCTGTGTCCTCTGCATCTGCTTGAAGTGAGAGCTGAGCTCAGTTTTCTGAGTTCTGATTTTATTATTCCTTCCAGACCAAAACAATCCAGCCCTTTCACCCAGGTTAGATTTGCAGTCTGGGCACTTGCCTGATTTCCATCGTGGCTCCTCTTGCTGTGACCCTGGGCTCTGAGGAAGCACCGTGGCACTGCAGATGTCAGAGATGACAGTCCCATCTCCTGCTGATGGAGCAGGAGAGAGCTGCTTCCTGTGCTCTCTCTGGGCTGGGTTACAGCATGGAAAACTCCTCAAGTGCTTGGTGTTGAATCCAGCTCAGTGTCACCTGTTCCTATTAACTCAGACTCTTCTTTTAAGAGAATAAGATATTTTCTCCCAAGCTCTGTCAGCTGTCTAACCACCAAAGATTAGAGCCTGGAAAATTAGAGCCTAGAAATTCACTGACAAGTGAATTTCATTAGCCTGGTCTTACTCTTGCACCTTTGGACAGTCCTGGAGCTAGAATGTGGTCATTTAAAACTTCTCTTCTTCCTCTGCCTGCTTATTTTCTTCGAGGGCAAAATTCTTTGCCTGGCCATGATTTCCTAAGGAAACTAGGAAATCTGCTCTCTTCACTTCACATCTGTTGTCATAGTAACAAATCCGTGGTTTTTTCAGCTTTGCAGTAAAAGCTTTGGAGCAATTCTACTAGAAATACAGCCTGCCTTAAATTATTGCAGACAGCATCAAGTAGTAATTCCTTGGCTTTCAGTCCAGCTGCCTTCCTGACAAAGAACAGATGATTACTTTGCATTCCCTAAATGCTAATTGCTGTGTGTGATGCTGGGTAAAGGGGAGGGTAAACATTTGCCCTGGGAGCACCTAATCAGACACTGAAATGTTCATTAGAAAGAAAACCCCCCAGCAGTGTCCTCCCTGCCAGATTCCACTGCAAATTCCACTGGTCAGTGACTGGAAAGTGGCCCACAGCTGTGGACAGTGGATGGATAGAGCCACTCAACTGGTCTGGAGCTGTTGAAGAGAAACAAACACCAGCCACCCCCTGTTTGTTAAAAAGCAAATCTTTGTTACCTCAGTGTACAGACAAGTTTGGGGTGTGTGTTCTTCAAACAAGGGAGAGGTGGGATGTGGCCTGAGCTGTGGCTGGTCATGTCAGTGGGGAAACATCTGCAGGAACATCTGCAGAGGGCAAGTTGCAGCAAAGAAGGTTCTGCCAGGAGTTGCAGCAGCCCTGGTCAGAATTCAGCTGTTTTATGGTCTCAAAATGTCTGTGCAGATTTAAGTGCACAGCAGCAGGGATTTAGATCACAGCAAAGGCTTCTCCATGCCATGAACGTGCCGGGAAGCTTGTTAACCAAAGGCACAAGGGAAGCAAGCTGTTCTTTGTGCCAGGGTGTTTGGGTGCATTCCTGCAGGCAGCTGGGATTGCTTTCCAATGTAAGATGAAACTGTGGATGCTGGGATTCATTGGGAATGCAGAAAAGCAAGGAAGTACCCCATGATCAGCATAAATGTGGTTGGTTTGTGGTGCTGATGGGCTGGGACAGGAGCATTAATAACCTTTCAACCTAAGATGCCTTTTAATGACTGTTTCCCACTGTGTTCCAGGGGAAGTTCTGTGGAGGCAATCCCGTGACTTTGGAGCTAATTATACTGTGCTGACTCCTTTATCAGTGATTCCAGATGTGGATAATGATAAAGTTCAGGACCTGATGATCTTTATTACTAAAGAAGGCCAGGTATGTCATGCTGAAGCTCTGATAAGCCCGGTGGCTGCCACAGAGGATGGCAGGAATGCTGTTTATTTCCACCTTGTAGTCTCAGAGGAAGTGTCCAGAGGCCTCTGGTTTCTGTGGGTTTGGGGTGGGTCCCTCCAGAGATGTACTCCCAAATCAGCACAAGTGTTTTATGGTTTAAAAAAATGAAATAAATCAAAGAGCTGGGCAGTAATCCCTCCCCCTTCTCAGTGTGCTCTCCTCAGTGCATGTTCCTGTGCTGTCTGGGGAGTGAGCTGGGGCAAGATGAGCTTGCAGTTTTCTGCTTCTCTGCTTAGAGAAGTGGAAGTGAACAAACCCTGACAGCTTTGGCTCTTAGATCAAAGCACAGCTGACAGTCAGTGCTTTTGTACCAGCACTGCCCTTTTCTGATCCCTTCCCTCTCTCTGCCTGTGGTCTGCTTTGCACTGCTCTTCCCAGTGTCACTGTGCTGGTTAATTCTGATCTGAGTTCATTTAGTGAAACAGCTGCTGGTGGTGTTAGATATCTCCCTCCAAATACTGCTTCTCCCATTTCTGAGAGGGGGAAAGTCATGTACCCAGAACAGTTTTTCTGCTAAAACATCTGCATCCATGATGGAGTGGCACAGCACTGCCTGCATGCCCAGTCTGTCCTGTTCAAAGCACACAAGTTCCAGCTCCCTCTGGGTCTGATGGGAGCAGTGGGAGCCCCATGTCCTCATAGCAGAGCCATGGAGTCATTGAGGTTGGAAAAGACCTCTGAGATCATCGAGTCCAACCTGTGACTGCTCCCTGCCTTGTCACCACCCCAGAGCACTGAGTGCCACCCCCAGGCTTTCCTGGGACACCTCCCACAGTGGTGACTCCACCACCTCACTGGGCTGCCTCTTCCAATGTTTAACAACCCATTCTGGGAAGAAATTCCTCCTGGTGTCCAACCTGAACCTCCCCTGGCACAGCTTGAGCCCATTTCACCTTGTCCTGTCCCTTTTTCCCTGAGAGCAGAGCCTGATTCCCACCTGGCTGCCCCCTCCTTGTCAGGGAATTATGGAGAGTGAGAAGGTCCCCACTGAGTCTCCTTTTCTCCAAGCTGAGCCCCCGCAGCTCCCTCAGTTCTACCTCAGAGGACATGTGCTCCAGACCCTTCCCTGGACCTGCTCCAGCACCTCAGTGTCCTTTTGGAATTGAGTGGCCCAGACCTGGACACAGCAGTCAGGTGTGGCCTCACCAATGCCCAGTACAAGGAAAGGCAGAAGCATTTCCTTGGCCCTGCTGGCCACCCTGTGGCTGGTACAAGCCAGGTGCCATTGGCCTTCTTGGCCAATGTCCTACATAAGAAAATAGAGTTTTGTTGTCCAAGGCATTGTTGTTGCCAGAGTCATCAGAAATTCCATCTTCTCCACCTCCTACAGTTCTCTCTGTTTTCTTTCCTCCTTGCTTTTGCTATCCCAGTTATCTCAAGACTTTTGTTTTTTTAATCTTAGGCAGCCAAGAAAAGTTTGAATGTAGCCTCTGTTCTGCAAGACTGCCTTTTGATCTGTTTTCCATTTTAGCTCTCTTGCTATCTTGGTATGAAATCCCTTCCTCCCTCTGGATTTGGCAAGCACTTTCCCAACTTAAGGAAAAGTATGTTCTCTTTTGAGAATCACGCAAATGTAGGAGCTGGAGTGGAGCTCTGCAGCTTGGAAAGGGCTGGTCAGAAGGGAGATTCAGCACTCAAGTAGAGGAGCTTTGTTGCTATCCAGGGCTGCAGTTGAAAGGAGAGAGCTGTGAGCAGTCTGTGGAAGGGTTTGTGTGCAGGGGCTGAGGTGGCAGCATTTCCAGAGAGTCCATTGACCCCTACCTGATGCAAGCTTCAGCACAAGCACATCCCAGAAAATGTGATGGTTTTTGGGATCCATCTCCTGTGGCAACACAGAGGAGTTGCCAGTGCAGCAAGGAAAATGTGTTTCTCACCCCCTGTGTAAATAAATACCCCTGGCTGTCACTGCCAAGGGCAGCCACTGGAGCAGTAAAGGTACAGCTGACTACCAGAGCTGGTGTGTGTCTCCTACCAGTGCAGGAGGCTGGGAATAGCTGGTGGATGTGTGGTGTTCTCCCTCTCCAGGTGTGTTCTCATTCTCCCTTTTTCACCTGCCAGACTCTCCAGATTTGCTTTGGATTTTCTTTGCTTTCCAGTCCCTCCCTCTCAAGGTAGAGGGAAGGGTTCCTGCCTGACTCAGCATCTCTGATGGATGCTGTTTCTCCTGGTCAGATGTTTCATTTGTCCCTAAAGTCCATTGCACTCCCCAGACTCTGACTGTTGCTCAGACATTTAAATCTGATCCTGACTTTAACCTTTATTCTCCTGGGTGAAATGTTTTTAGTGGATTTTGTTACCCTGCACAAAGAATAGAAAGAAACCTATCAGCTTTTTTATCTTCTTGGACTCACATGAGCCTGAGGAGGAGTAGATTAAGGCACTTAAAACATTTAGCACAGCTGCCATGTGAATCCAAATTCCCCATGTCCATATGCTGCATTGTTGCTGACATAGGTCATCTCCATCTTAAGCTTGCTGGATCTTGGATCTTTGCTGTCCTTACAGAGCTGGGGCTGCTGTTCCACAGTCCCAGTCTGTAAGGAGGGTGGGTAGCAAATTCTCAGAGCAGGTGGCTGTGCTGGAAGTGGTTTTCAAACTTCCAGAAGAATTCAGAGCAGAGGTGTCACCAAACTCACGCCCACTCCTCCAAAACGAGGGAGAGACTTCCCATCCAAGCCTGTGCTGCTCCCATTCAGTTGCTGTTTGGTACCAGCTTTAACCTTGTTGCTTGTTGTCTGTAATCCCTTCCCTGTCTAGGTGAAGGTCTTCATCTATTCAGGAAAAACTGGCCAGCAGCTTGGCTCCACGGGCAGCCTGAGGGTGGATGGAGCCGCTCGCTACGTCAGGCTGCAGCTGCACTCCTCCTCCTCCTACTTCCTTTTCTACACAGGTACAGCTCTGCTGGGGAATTCAGTCTGAAAGAGGGATTGTAGCTGAGATCAGGGTTAGTAAACATCATCTGACAGTGTGTTTTGCATTCTTACAAGCTGTGTGGAGCTTTCACCTAGTCAGAGAGCTGTTCGGGGGGGGGGCTTCTGCTTAAACTGCAGTTTGTTATGCACTGTAGTGATTTTATTTAACAAATGTCAAGCATGAAAGGATTAGGCAGTCATTTATAGCAAATGATTACTGTGGAACACTTGGATTATAAACAGATAAAATGTTAAAAGCATTCAATAGCAGGCTTGAGTCTCAAAATACCACTACAACTCTATGATGCAAGCCCTAAAAATATAGTTGATCTGGCAGATCTGGAAAATCATAGAGTTCAGAGCAAGGGCAGGATAACTTATCTCTCTCATTCTTGTCTCTTTTTTTTTCCCACAGAGAAGTCTGTCTATGCATATTCCCTGAAAGACCTGTGCAGTACAGTAGTTGGGGTGGAAGTTAAGCTTTCCAGCTTCCAGCTGGATTCTCATTTGGAGAAGAACATTGACCGTGCCACGCACCTCTTATCCCCTCTCAGGTGTGAGGTTATGTCTTGGAGGCTGGTGGAGTGGGGAGGGGGCTGGTGTTCCTGACAGGGTGGCCTGGTGGGACTTTGTTCTCTCCTGGCTGTGTGGTTTTTGGACTAGGAGCACATCCCGAGTTCAGGACAAGGGTTGCTGTCAATGTTGGCTTCATCAGGGATTCAAAGAAAAGCAGAGAAAGCACATTGGGGTTTCCTATTTGGATTTACTATGCAGGGAAAAAAAACTCCAAACCTCACAGTAAAACCATCCATGGCCTAAAAAGCTTAATAATTTCTCTGTCCTTGTTCAGATTCGAAGACATTCGCTACCTGACAAAAGTTCCTGGGCACTCACGGGACAACATCTTGGTTGTGGACTCAGAGATGGCCAAACTGATCAACACAAAAGATCTCCACACTGTGTGGACCCTCAATGTGTCCCGTGTTTTGAGGTAGTGTTCTCACTGTGGGCTACATGTGGCATTTCCAGGTTCCCAGCAGCAGCAATGGGAAGATGGATGTCCTGGCAGATGCAATTCTTTTTTTGCCTGGGTCATATCTTGATCTTGCTTATTGTGTTGTGTCCCCTCAAATGCTGGGAGCTGCTTCAGGCTGGAGGAGCTCAGAGCTTTGCTTGCTCATTTTGTGCCTGCTGTGATGTGGCTGGGCTCAGAGTTGGGGTGGTACCAGGCCAACCCAGTGTTATCCAGTCAAGTCTCTTAGCAGGGCAGGTGTGGGAGGATGGAGGCAGCTGGGAAAGCAAAGTGTGCCCAGCCATCAGGGTGGGTTCAGGTCTGTCCCTGCTCTTTCTCTCCCTCAGTGAGCCACTGCTCGGTTACTACAAACCTGATGCCCATGGTGTTGTCCTGGAGAGTGAAATTGGACCCAACAGGAAGAAGGTTTGAAATTTCTTCCTTTTAACTTCCCATTTCTCTGTATGTCACAGCTCAAGCAGGAATTGAGCCAAGGACAGTTGGTGGGATGTGTTCCCTCTGGCTGATTTTAGGAAGCTTTAAGCTGTGAAAGGATCTCTTTCAACAGGTTATTGAAGCCAGCTCAGGCACTTTAATTCTCTTCCCAGCAAGAGGCTTCAATGACAGAACTTTGAACCCCTTGAAGTAGCTGCAGAACTTGTGATTTTACTCAAACATGGCCAACCCCAGGTCTCACATCTCTGTGATGCTCTGCTTCAAATATTTCCCCATCTTCCCATGTGTCACATACTCGTTCCCATAGACAGTGTGAGGAGAGACAGCTGACCTGACTTCTCTCTCATGGCTTGTGAGCTGCCTTTGTCATGAGTTCCTTTTCTTTCTTCCCTGCTAGGTTATGATTGTTGAGAGTGAATCTGGAGCAGTCCAGTGGGAGCTGAAGCTGAACTCAGGACCAGGGAGCCCTGGCCCAGCCACCCTTCCCACTGCAGATCACCGCTCTGCCTTCCTCATGTGGGGGGACTTCCAGGAGCCAGGCAATGACACAGTGAGTGCTGCTGCTGGGGGCTGCTCTTTCCAGGCTTTGGGCCAGAATTGGGTGGAATTACCCTTTTCTCAGTGTTGATATTCCCATCTGTCTGTGCCACTGACCCTGCAGCCTCATGCCGTGGGTGTGGGGTCCGTGTCCACAGCCATGTCCCTGCAGGTGGTGGTGGCACTGGCAGCTTTTGTCATCCTCAGCCTAGTTATGTAGAGAAAATGAAATTGGTGGCTCTGTGAGCAAAGTCACTGCCCTGCCTTGGTGTGGCACTGTCTGTGAGGTGGGAGGCTTCTGGCCTGGCACCTCTGGAGTTGCTGCTGTTTTCCTGGGAGCATTGCTTGCAGTGATCTCTGTGGCCACGTGAATATCCTCTCTGTGCCCCAGGCAGCCTCAGACAGCCTCGGTGCACAGCTCAGCTGCTTGCAGAGTGCTCGGGGCAGTGACAGGCAGCACTGGTGACAGTTTGTGTCTCAGAGGCTGCTGAAGCACCAGCTGAACTTCCTCTGCTTTCCTTGCTTGCTCTGCCAGCCCTGAGGCAGAAATCTGTCTCCTGCCTGCAGCAGACAGGCCAGCTATTTGCAGGAAGCTTGGGGTGGGAAGGAGAGCAATAAGCAAAATTCCAGCACTTGTCCTGATGGCGTCAGTCAGGCTGAGCTGGGCTGACACGGACAAGTGTCTGGCTGGGTGTATCCTGTCCAGTGTGAGTAATAGCTGAGCCTGGTGCTGCTGCTGTCTCTGGAATAAGGTGTGAGTGTGTCCTGATCATGTCCTGTTGGTTGCAGAGACCCGGAGCTCCTCTCCAGAAGCTTTACCTTTTCCATCCTTCCTACACTAATGTCGTGTTGGAGCTTCGCAACAGCACTGACCAAATCATTGCATTCACTGGTGAGTCCTCTCCTTACAGCCCTCCAGCCAGGAGCTGCAGGAGGACCCTGGTCCCTCCTGGTCCCTCCTGGTCCCTCCTGGTCCCCGTGGGGTGGTGGGTGTGGTGGCCAGCCCAGCACACGAGGCTCAGGCTGTGTTTCCGTGTGCTCCTGTTGCAGCGGCGCTGTTTGAGCGGAGCCGTCACGCCTGCTACGTGCTGCTGCGGGGCCCCCAGCCTGGAGAGGGGCCAGGCCCCGTGTCCCTGATGAAGAGGAAGCTGAAGGAGGACGTGGCAGTGAGCAGGGTGCTCTGGCTGCGCCGCACACCCGGGGATGAGGAGCAGCACATCCGGGACCGCCTGTACAGGATGCGATTCCAGAGCCGAGATTGAGCTGAAGGGGAACGGGAGAGGCTGCCCTGCTCTGCAGCCCTGCTCTCAACAAGCCCAGAGCCTGCAGTCCCATGGGAAGCTGCCTTTCTTGATCCACAAACCAAAGTGTGGCTGGCAGGGAAGCACCCCCAGTGTCGAGGGACAGCCAGGCTGTGGGGGCAGCCTCCAGAGTGTCCGTCCTCAGAGCTGATGGGACTTCAGTGCTTGGCCACCACTGAAGTGTCATCAGCTCGGGGAGGAGGGCTTTCCCCTCCATCCCTCTGTGCCCACAGAACTGTGCTGACTCAGGAGTGTGTCTGGAGGAAAACATGTGCTTGCTGAGGTGCCAGAATTGATGATTTCTGGGATGCCTGAGAAGTGGAGTTGGATGTCTGGGAAGTGGAGTTTGCTGTGTGGTGTTAGATTTCCTTTCTGAGTCAGCTCTCCTGGCTGGGGAGAGGTGCTTGGCTGCAAGTTGATTTGCAATTACCCTCTCCTGGATTTGGGCCATGCTTCATTAGTGGGGGGGGAGTGTGGTGACCCCAGCCATGGCTGTGGTGTGTCTGGTGTCACTTGGCCAGCAAAGCACAGGTTAAAGTGTCATTCTACTTAGCAAATGGCCTTTTCTTCCAAGAACAGCCCCCTGTGTCCTACTCTGCAGTCACCAGCCTGCCTGTGTCTGTGTCCTCTGCTGCTTCCTGCCCAGCCAGGCTGTGCAGAGTTGGTGGCACCAGGAGGGAGCTGGTTTTCCCCCTGATGGGTGCATCAATGCTCCTCCCTTCCCTCAGCCTGCTTATAGGTGGTGAGAGACCCACCCTGAGCCCAGGCTGGCTGGTCCATGGAGGTACCACCACCACCTCTCCAGCTTTAAGGAACCAGAGGATCTGGCTTGAGTAGAATTGCACTTTAACCTTTTCTGGGAGCTGGGATTGCTGCTCTGGGAAGCCCTGGCAGTGCCAGCACCCTGCTCATTCAGCCTTGCAGCTGCTGAGGAGCCTTCTCCAAGCACTGTTCCTGCTGCCAGGAGGTGGGCAGGAGCTCTGTGCTGCCTCCCTGCCCTTGGAATTGAAGTGATGCTGGGTGAGGATCCTCGAGCACTCTTCTCTCTGCCCAGCCTGCTATGCTGAGGGGATGGGACAGGTTGCTGTGTGAAGATGAGATGTGTCTCCTGGAGATCCATGTAGCACCATGAGGTGTTTGCTCTGCCCTGCCCTGATGGGTGCCAGTGCAGGCTGTAGAAACAAGGTGCAGAGCCTTGAAAACAGTTTGAACCAGCTACTCAGTCCTGAAAATAAAAAATAGACCTAAAAATAACCTCTCTCAGGCTCTGCAGGGCTGGAGGGGGTTTGGCCAGTGCCTCCCTCCCTTGCTGAGTCTGACCCTGGGGGATGTGTAGAAACACTGTAGGATGGGAATGTGCAGCATCAGGCATCAGCTCTTCCCTTCAGGCACTGCTGGGCTGAAGGTGCCCCTGGGCAGCTGCTGTCACCAGCTCACAGCACAGCCCCAGCCCTCCCAGGCTGCCTGGGCACCTCCTGCTTCCAGCCCTGTCTCCCTGTGCCCCATAGCCTGGGCAGTCAGGGGAGCCAGCCCTGGGCTGTTGGCTGTGCAGGAGTGCTCCACAACCTTCAGAGCACCCTGGCCTCAAAATGATGGGCTTGCCCCTGTGCCTCTCTTCCCAGCTGTTTCCTGAGGGAGTCCAGGAGTGCAGGGAGGTTCCTCAGCTGTGTCCCCCAGCTTGAGTTTCCTCTTTGCTCAGCACCTTAGGCCTGACAGCCCCCCGGGTCTCTGTGCCAGTGTTGCAGCCATGAGGGGCTGGATTGAGGCTCCCCTTCAGCCAGCTGGGGCAGGGCACCCCAGGCTTGCACTGCAGCCCAGCCTGAGTGCTGGGTGGGGATTGTTTCCTGCTGAGATTCCCCTGGCCGGGAGCAAGGGGAGTGCCTGGGCTGTGTTCTCATCACACTCTCCCTCCTCAGATCCCTACCCAGACCTGACCTTCCCATAGGCACACTGAATGTTCCTTGAGGAGAGCTGGATTTTCAGCTTTGAGGAGCTTTCCTGGCTTTAAGTTGTCCAGAAATGTTTCTGAACACTTTGGAAACGCAGATTTCGCCGTGGCAGCTCAACTAAACGCATCAGTGCCAAACCAGCACCTTCTTAACAAAACCAGTCTGTTTCCAGCTTGTTTCCTGTGTAATTGTTTTGTTTGGGTTTTTTTGGTTTTGTTTTTTTTTTTTTTGTTTTTTTTTTTCTTTTGCAGTATTTGATGGATGACTTTGTGCCTTGATTCAATAACTCAGCTGGGTGGCAATGGCTATATCACTGTGTTATGTGTTAGTGTGGTTTTTAACACTGAGACTGTTTGGTTTGGTTCTTTAACTTATTGCAAATTGTGCCGTACAGGACTCGCTCTAACCAGAAGGGTTTCAATAAATCCTCTTTTGCATTGTTTGTAAATGGTGCCCTGCTTTGATGTTGCAGGTTATACAAGATTTGGGATTTCTTTGTCAGCCCTTTGAGTGACCTCCCCGACGCAGAGCCCCCCTCCTTGGGCGGGATTCAGGAGTCCTGGTGATGCTTTGATGGCTGAGGTGCTGCCTGCTGCCCTGTCCTGCTGTGGGCAGGTGATGGACCAGGAAAAGGGAGAAGCCAGCATGTGGAGAGAGGCTGGAGTTAGATAACAAGGCCGGGCCAGCCCGTCCCTGCCCCCCCGGGGCTCTGTGACCTGGTTTTACACCCCAGATTCCCTCTGCAGTCCATCAGCACGAAAATCTCATGCCAGGGTTTGGATTTGGATCAAGCGGGAGCGTGGCGGGCGCTGTCTCCTGGAGCGCGGGGCCATCTGTCACTGCCCCAGGGCCCCAGCTCCACCCTGTGACCGGGGCTCCAGCAGCTTCCCCTGCCCCGGGGCTCTGTCTGCCCAGAACAGAGCTGAGAATGCCCCTCGCTCTGTGCCAGGCTCTGCGGCAGAGCAGGATCATCCCCAGCATCCCAACCTCCCGTGTGTGTCAGCCAGGATACGGGACGGCCCCTCCTTGTCCGTTTGGGGCTGGAGCTGTGCCCAGCTCTGCTCTGTGGGTACGTGTGGAGCAGGCTGGGCTCCAGGGCTGAGCACTGCTGGGCATCAGCCCCCCTCTCCTTTATGTAACACCAGCGATAATCCTCTGCAGCTGGGGCTGTGCTCCCGGCAGGGGAATAATCCTGCCCTGCGATGCTCAGCCTTGCTCAGATTAACAGCCCATGGGCAGGAGAGTGGCTCAGCTGCCAGCCCACAGGGCCAGCCCCATTCCAGAGGCCTTTTTGTCCCTGCCAGGTGTGGGTGGCACACCCTGAGTGCCAGCTGGGCCTTGCCAGGCTGGTGCTGCCCCTCGGAGCCCGAGATCGGTGGGTGCTGGCTGTGCCGTGGGGGGGCTGGTCCCCTCCCGGCCCTGCACCCTGGCTGGCTGCTGCAGGCATGGGAGGACATCGCTTCCAGCCTGGAGAGCAGCTCACAATCCGGCCCGGAGAAATGGGCAGCGCTTTGTGCCTCTCCCACCCTGCCAACGCCGCCCTGGCCCCGTTCCCCAAGAACCACGGGAGCCTCCGGTGTTTCCGCGGGGGTTTTACTGTGCCCGGGCTGGGGGCGGGAGCAGGGGGTGACCCCGCACCAGGCCGGCTGGGTGCGGCTCCCCGAGGGACAGGGGCTGTGGGGATGTGAGCGGGGTCAGCCTGGCTCCGAGGGGTTTATGGGGTTTATGGCTTCTCTCCTTCAGTGCTACTGCCGGCAGGGGCTGGCTGTGCTGGGTCGGGGCGCTCCGCTGCTGCCGGGGGCTCTCAGCTCTCCTCCTCGGGCACCGGGGCGGTGGAAGGGCTCCTGCTCCTCTCCTCGGCATCGCCCGCGGGCAGCAGCAGCGCCGGGCTGGGGCTGGAATGCCGCTGTTTGCGCATGAAGGGGAAAACCCTGCGGGCAGAACGGGGTCAGAACCGGCGGGGATCACCCGTGGTGGCCCCAGGGACAGTCCCTGCCCTCACCGCTTCTTGGTCTCCGGGGGAATGATGGCCTCGGCCAGGAGGTTCTTGTAGAGGTCCGACTTGAGGAAGCGTGGGTAGGAGTCCTGGGCGAGCAGAGAGGTCAGGATCCTGCCCAGCCCTGCTCTGCCCAGCCCCGCCCTCACCCACCTTCTTCATCAGCATGTAGATATGCATCTGGGCATCGTCCATCACGTAGCGATGGGGCGTCTTGATGCCCTCCAGGGTTCTCTCCATCGTCTTGCTGTCGATGTTCACCCAGCGTGTGGCCCCGGGCGCCAGGAACTGCCTGGGGAGTCACAGGCAGCGCTGAGCCCGGCCCTGCCCTGGGGCAGAGCACCGCGATGGCCTGACCAGCCCCAAAGCTTCCTCCCGAAGCCAGTGGCACTCACTGGTAGATGGAGTCCACGATCTCGGCGATGCGGGACTGCTCCCCATAGCGCAGCTCCTCACACGCTTCCCAGAAGCTCAGGTTCTCAGCTGGGGAGGGGGACGGGACATGGTGCTGGGAATGGGGACACTGGGCACCCCTCATGGGCAACTCCCAAAGGCCACCATGGCTGGGCATGTGTCCCCTGGGACAGGGAGAGCCAGCTGGGGCAGGGAAACTGGGGCAGATTAGCTGGGAGGTACTGGGATGTGGTGGGGCTGAGGAATGGCAGGACACAGTAATGGGCTGGTTTGGTGGTGCTGGGATTGGGCAGTGGATTAGGCAATAATGGGTTTGGTGGTGCTGGGATTGGGCAGTGGATTAGGCATTAGTGGGACATGGTGGGTTTGGTGGTGCTGGGTCAGAGTGGTGGGTGTGGGGTGCCAAAGCTGAGGTGTTTCGGGGTTGGGGCTGGGCCCCCTCACCACTGAACTCCTTCTTGAGGAATTCCAGGAGCTGTGTCCGGCCCAGGGGGTCGTTGATGAGCTCACTGAAGTTGAAGCCCCAGCGCTCCACGCGCAGCTTTGTGGGGGTTGTCACTCTGTGGGTGACAGTGGCATTGGGGCTGGCAGCCCATGGCAGCCTGCATGACCCCACAGACCCCACAGCCCTGTCCTGCAGACTGGGGTTCTGGGGGCCCTGGGGCACTTACGTGGGGGCATTCATGGCCCAGTACGTGGTGTCATCCGTGATCCAGGGGTTGCTGGGCAGGCAGCCAGACATGATGGGGTCGTGGGGCACATACTGCTCGTTGAACTTGATGTACCTGCCAGGAGTGGTGGCTGGAGGAGACCAGGGCCACCAACCCCAGCCACCGTGGGGACATGATGGGGACGTGGTGGGGATGTGCCCGAGCTGTGCAGAGCCTCAGCTCCACTCCCTGCTCAGGGCTGGGGTGCAGTGGTGCCAGCACCAGCTGCTAGGATGTGGGTGCCCCTGTCACCCTGACAGGGACCCAGCCGTGGCTGGGGCAGCTGCTGCCACTCACCCCTCAAGGCAGATGGAGGATTTCACCCTGGTCCTGGCCATGGCCTTCCTGCAGTACTCGATCTGGGGCCAGGCGCAGGGGAGATGTTGGGGTGCCTGGCAGCTCATGCCCCCCAGAGCTGCCCCCACCCCTCGCCCCACTCACCTCTCGCTTGTAATAATCCATGTTCTTGGTCTGCAAGAGACACACGGGGCTGGGTCAGGGCACGGTGGGGCCGGGACATTGTCCTGCCCCACCACCATGGACAATCCAGGCACCCACTCCCCCACCCTGGGACTCTGTATCCCATCCCCGTGGCCTCCAGCCTCATTCCCCCAGCCCTCCTGGGGCAGCACAGCCCATGGAATGAACCCTGCCTTCCCCCCTCCACACCCCAGTGTGACACCATCCCTGGGTTAGTGACACTTACGTGGGCAGAGGACACGGCACACGGCGCAGAGAAGAGAAAGTGGGTGGTTAGTGAGGGCAGCCTGGGGGTGCTGGGGCAGCATTAGTGGGGTCACAACACTGGGAAGGGCTTGGTGGCTGCTGCTGGCACCCCAGGGCACGAGGGCTCCCTGCAGCACAGCTGCCCTGCAGGGATCAGAGGTGCTGGCACAGAGGGGTGCTGGGTGCAAGGACAGACACACGGACCCTCCATGCTCAGGGTGGGGGGCACACGGATGTTAGCAGAGCTGGAGCTCACCCCTCACCCCAAAATGTGGGCACAGCCTGGGCTGAGATGGATGGGCACCCACCAGGGCAGCTCTTCACCCCAGCACGGGCACTGGGTGTGCCCTGTGCCCGCTGGGGTGCCTGGACACCCCCACTCACCAGCTGGACACGGGTGGTGTGGCAGTTCCTGCGCTCGGGACCCTGCTCCAGCACGTTAGGGGCTCCTGGCTGCAAGGACAGCACCATGCTGGGGGCTGGGGGGACCCCCTGCACCTCAGCCCCGCTGCTCGGGGCCGTGCTTGGTGCCAGGGCTGCACCCCCAGCCCGACCCCCGCGCCCCGCGCTCACCGGGGGCCGGTTGACGAGCCAGTACGCCTGTTCCTGGCAGTCGATGACGATGCGGTCGCCCTTGCGCCGCTGCTTGGCTGCCCTGGCCGTGCAGAGGCAGCGGGGAGGTGCTGGCACCCTGCCTGCCCGGCACCCAGGCTGCTCCATCCCGGCCGCTCCCCGGGCGCAGCGGGGCCGGCCGTGCCCGCACTCACCGGAGCTGCTCCCGCGCCTGCATCACCACGAAGTCCCACGTGTGGTTGATCCGCTTGTGCAGGAGGTTGTAGTTGTCCTGGGGAGCGACAGGCAGGCACGGTGTGGCCCTGTCCCCTTCCTTGCCTGGCTCCAGCACAGGCACAGCCGGTGTCCCCCGCCCGCTCCTGGGAGAGCCGGGACTCCCCCAGCTCACGGCAGCTGCGGGGAGGGCACCGCTCACCTTCTCGTGCTCGATCAGATCACCCTGCTTGCGGATGTTCTTCTTGGCCAGGTAAATGGCTGCAAGAGAAGCGGCGGCGCTCAGGGGGGCTGGAAGGGGCTGGAAGGGGCTGGAAGGGGCTGGAAGGGGCCGCAGCCCGCGCCGGTGCTGGTGGCACGGTGGTTCCTACCGTAGTCCAGCTCCGTCGCCGGCCACTTGGTGCTGGTCCAGAAATAGGGGGTCTGCGGGGAGGAAGAGGCTGAGGAGCTGCCCTGGGGTGCCCAGGCGGGGCAGCCCCGGCGTTCGGGCCGTACCTGGAAGCGGTAGGGCGACTCGTCTGCCCGCAGCACCAGCGAGCGCGGGTCCTTGAGCGGGTAGATGTAGCCGTGCTTCACGATGAGGTTGCCGAGGTGCAGCGACTCTGCGGGATTGGGATTGGGGGCTGCGTGGAGGCTCGGCAGCCCCAGTCGCCCCCCCCGTGCCAGGGCACTCACCCTCCTCGGAGATGCCGTACTTCTGGATGAGCCACTCCACGATGTCGTTCCCTGGGGATGGAGGCTGAGTTAGTGGGGTGCAGGGGGGTTCCCCAGGCTGGATACGGGGGGGTTCTTGGCGGGGGCACCTGGCACAGCATG